GACGGAGCGCCGTATACGCTGCTTGCTTTGCAGCGGGCGCCGTTAAACCGTCTTGAGAGGCGCGCCGTTACGCTGCTTGTTCTGCGGCGGGCGCTATTAGGGGACTGAAACAGCGTGTGTCGCTGAGTCCCCGGCGGATTCATTTTGCTGAACCATGACGGGCTCCTGCTGAACTATATAGCCACTGACGACGAGTCCAGCGACCCGCTTAAGGTGGTTATGCCCAAAAGTCCGAGAGCCGCACTGTTGCGATCCTCTCACGACGAACCCATGGCCGGTCACCTGAGTGGCTCGAAAGTTTTTGCAAACTGAGCGATGTTGTGACCTGGCCCGGCACGAAGCGTGGCTTTTATCGCTATTCCGTGCCTGCCACGTCTGACAAACGGTTGAGCCAAGGGTTGGAAAGCCGCCCGGTCTTATGAACCAATTGTCAGTTAGCGTCCGTGGCGCGTACTAGCTGAAAGATCCCCTTTGGGAAAACTCAGCCGTGCCATATCGCAGACCTGAAACCCTTTGTATCACGGTCTGACGAGCTCGCGCAAGAGCCCTGCGGCACTTCGCGCCAGCAACGAGGCACACCCGGAGCGGCGGACCGCATTCGGACCCCGCGCCGGTATAATCTGAGGAAGCGGTCACCTTTGTGATTTCGCGCCGGACGGCGGACTTCTCCGCAACCGAAGGCCCTCAGTTTACTGTCTATCCTCAGTATAGGTTAGCTTCTTTACGGCCTTTTCTCGTAAAGAAGTTGACCCCGCCGTGTCTGCTGCCAGTGTTTCTTTTTTTTCAAGTGTTCATGTGTATTTTAGGTTTCTTTTTCTAATATTGAGTGTTATCTGTGTTTTGTGTTTTTTTTTGCCAGATCTTGAGTGTCATTTTGCTCTGTTTTTACTTTTTTTTCTCGCGGTCGTTTCGTCTACCGCGAAGGGAGCTGTGTGTGACCTTGAGTGTCGGTGCTTGCCGGGGGAGAGAGACGAAGGACGCTTTGCGCCTACGCTCGCGCAGCCGTCGGCGGTGTGTGTGCGTGCGTGTGTAAGTGCGTGACGCTTCAGTGCAAGCCCGCGAAGAGTGCGTCATGGCTGCCCTCCATCGACGCGGACACTGGAGGTGCTGGGGGGTCATTGACCCACTGACGTCAGACCATCTGGCTGTGCTCTGCTCTCGGCCGTCGCCGAAGAAGCCGTGCTGCCTTTCCCACCATGGCTCCTGCGCGAGGCCAGCTGAAAGCAGCTATATGCTGCCGGCCAACGCCAGGGCGCCTCGCAGCCAATTTCGGTTAGGCCTCCCTGACCACCGGAGAGGCCCGGCTTCCCGCAACGTCCAGCTCCCTCATCGAGCCAGAAATGCGGGGCCTCCGAACAACCGAAGCGGCTTTCGTCGGACTCGCGGCTTATCAAGAGCAGCAACAAGCCATCAGTGAGCCCCCTCCCGTATCTCTGACCTCGCACTCGGGCATCGCACCCAGCGGACACTGTCACGCCTTTCCGCCCCTCCGCGCAGTGGACGCTATTCCCGCATCAGCACCACAAACACTAGTGCCACGTTTCTGTGCTCCCTTCTGCAGTATTTGTATAGTGTCGTGTGTTTATTTTGTTATTTATGTTTTGTTCCTCATTTGTAATCTTTTTTTTAGCAGCAGGGCTGGACTGAGGTTAGCTGTCGCTCATAGCAGTGTCATTTTAACTGCATGGGTGACGTCCGGCTGCCTTTTGCAGACCGGTAAAGGGCAAATTTAGGAGAGGGGGATGTGGGAATTGAGGCTGGCCCGCTGCCTTTGCGCGGGCTTTGCCGCCTCTTTTCTCATGTCCCGACATGCCTACCCTCCTTTGCCGTCAGCCGCGCTGGGAAGGGCGGAGTGACGTTTAACTCCCTCACCCGGTAGCGGATGTCGACTGTGGCGCCGCGCGCGGGGACCCCCGAGAGGTTTTCGCGCGCTGCGTCGGGAGCGGGGAGTACAGTCCGGGACTTCAAACGGTGAGCCACGCATTCTTTCCGTCCGTCGAGTCCCGTCGCTCGGGGCTCGTCGGACTTCGCTGACGGCGCCTCGCGCCCGATGCGAACGCTCACCTTTTGTTGCCCCGCTGCGTACTCACGGCCGAAGGGCAGTACGGTGTCCTAGTGCGTGGCCTAGCTACGCCGACCCGTCTCCCTTCGAAGCCAACGCGAGCGCCTTTGCCCTCGCTCGAGCAACCGGGCCCTTTGTCCCGGTGTCTCCGTGGATCAGCTTTACCGCGGAGACGTGCTCGTGGCACCCCTGTGTAGTACTTTGTGCCCGTGGCGTGGATAAGCCTACTTGCTTTCCCGCCGCGCCTATTTGCAACGGGCTGTACTGCGTTTGGTGTTGCCACAATAAAGTGTTGCGACTTGAGCAGTATCGTGTTTCCCGCCACGGCGACGGTTAACGCGTGCCCTGCGGCTCGCTAAGACCGAACCCACGCTGGTGGCCGTACTCCTTCGGGATACGTGTACACCACAACGTTCTGTTGGCGGTTTTAGAAACAGGCTTTAACGGCACGTCGTGGGGCAGCGGCGGAGGGTATTTGTCGGCCTAACCTCCGGAGGTCGCAGTTTTCAGTTTCCCCGGCAGTGGCTTGCGCCACTGACACCAGGGGACCCAAAGGCCGGTCGGGCGCGGTGCTTTGATGCGGACGGACGGGGGGACAGTAATTGTGACTGTTGTTGCAGCGTGATGACTAGCTTTTAAGTAATCCGCAATTTCTTGTGGGCGCTCACCATAGCATTGACAGCGGGCATCTGGGTGGACTCCGCGTAGGCCTATTCGTCGGTAGTAACAGTCGCGGTACATGTGTCCAGCTTCGCCATAATATAGTAGCACAAGGGTCGATTGTCAGGTGCACGCCAGACGGTGTACTTTCGCGGGCCAGGGCGAGAATCGGCCTCAAAAGGCAGGTGATGGGCTGGCCTTGAAAACGTCTGGGGGTCCCAGCAGGTGGATGAGCAAAATGTGCCGTCGACGGCGTAGAGACGCGTAGGGCGTCCGCTTAGGAAAGCGTGGGGGGAGGTTCGACTTGGGAAGGTGGTGAGAAGTGAACGAACTGCCTGATTTCGTTACGAATGGCGTTCGTAAAAGCAGCGCTTCTGGGAGGGGACGCTGCAGGAAATTTCCGAAGTTCTTCGCGTACAACTTGCCGTATGAGTTTTGTGAGGACCTCCCTGTTATCACCTTCTGGTACAAGCGAGCACGCAGCGGACATGGCCCTCTGACGCTCATACTGCGACAACCGCTGCTGAAGCATGCGCTCCATAATTGTGGCCTTACGTATGAACTCCGACACAGTCGTAGGAGGTTTGCGCACAAGGCCCGCAAAAAGTTGCTCCTTTACGCCTCGCATTAGCAGGCGCACTTTCTTGTCTTCTGGCACTTGGTGGTCAGCCGTTCAAAACAATTGCGACATGTCTTCGACAAACATGGCGACGCTCTCGTTCGGCATTTGAAACCCCGAAGAAAGTGCCTGCTCCGCTCTCTCTTTCCGTTCGGGGTTACTGAACGCCTCGCGAAGCTGCCGATGGAATTCCTGCCAGCTTGTGAATGAAGTTTCGTGGTTCTAGTACCACACTCTTGCCGCGTCTAAGAGGGAGATATACACGTTTTTCAACTTACGGCAATTGTCTCAGTCGTTGATGGCAGCGCCCCGGTCGAAATGGTCAAGCCAGTCTTCGACATCCTCTCCGACATCACCATGGAATGGGTTGGGTATGCGAGGCGTGTTGATGACACAGGGTACGCTAGCGAATGGGTCATGCTCGGTTTGGGTTGCGGATGTGGCAAACATTTGTCCTCACGGAACTTGCCAAGGGGTCGTACTGTGGTGGTAGTCCTTGAAGGCGGCGGCTGCTTCAATGGATATCAGTAGACCCTGGTGTACTGGCGGTGGTTGCTTCTGGTTCAGGACCAGCAGGCATAAGATGTTGCAGTCCAGTACCCAGCACCTCCACCAGTCTGTCGTGAGAGGAAACGATAGACGGGAACTCGAAGTGTACGACTGTTTACTAAGCCGCAGCAGCCATTCACTTCTTCGCTTTCGTCTTATGCCACCAACACAGCGTGGCAATATGTAGCCAGCACCAGGTCTAATGTCAATGTTCTGTTGCTTTCGAAACTGGGCTTTTTTTTTTTAGTAGAAAAGATATCAGTCTTTGTCAGAACAAATGTTTGTTTATGAATACATGTAACAGTGAACTTCAAGCAAAAAGGTCACTGTCTGAAAATTTTTAGATCATGTAAAAAAAGGCAATAACAATGTAAATTTGTAACTTTATTCTTCCCAGTTCACACTGTCTTGCACCAGCAGCGTGTACAGGTTATCCACCTGTAAGGTGAGCACCTCACTAGTATTCAATACCCTATAGGAGCTGGTGTTCAATAAATAATGGGAGCCTCGCCGCGGTGGTCTAGTGGCTAAGGTACTCGGCTGCTGACTTGCAGGGCGCGGGTTCGAATCCCAGCTGCGGCAGCTGCATTTCCGATGGAGGCGGAAATGTTATAGGCCCGTGTGCTCAGATTTGGGTGCACGTTAAAGAACCCCAGGTGGTCTAAATTTCCGGAGCCCTCCACTACGGCGTCTCTCATAATCATATAGTGGTTTTGGGACGTTAAACGCCACATATCAATCAATCAATAAATAATGGGAAAATGTGTAAACTGACACCATCATTTCAAGTTATATGACAGATATCTTTATCCTGGAGTAGAATGCCATGCCATTTATGGGCCGTTTTTGCAGTTTTCGTTATATTACGTTCAAGCAAAGTCTGTATGCCTTGATAAACTTCAGCTAGCAACAAAGTTGAAATACGAGGAAGATATCGGAATAGGTAGGTTTATGTTACTGCCATGCAGCATTAATCAATTCCCCCGTATATATTGAAATGTCCCAGGCCTTCGATTGGCCACTGCCCTTTTTCCATCAGTGACAGCAGTTGTTCAGAAGAGATTTGCCACCGCTGTTACATTGTCTCAGAATATTTCTCTTCCTGCACAGACCTGTACCGACTGTGTGGCCAGCCACTGCAGGAGCAAGAAGCCATCCAGACGCATGCCAATTTCTCACAGCTCTTGCTCAAGGACCACTTTCAGGCGTCTCAACTGCCAGAACATAACTTGATTCAAGTGAGCATGCATGCCAACTTCCTTGAGTGTGTAGACTCTTGGACTATTTTTTGTTCCACCATGTCACCTTCTTTGAAGACATTATCTCTCATCCACATTATGTCATGCAGTACATTTCTCACCACATTCAACCCCATATTTGTCTTCATGTTACCCCCACTGATTAATGGTAGCTCATGTCGCCGAATGTTGGCTAGTGCTATTGTACATGTAGCAGCAACATTGTCTTCATGCAATGACAGTCAAGTTATGGTTGCAAAAAGTTTACCTTGCTGACGGACCAAAGGGACAGTTGTTGAGTTGAGCAGCAGTGTTACTAAGAAATTATGAAAAAAGCGAAAGTACAATTGGTGGAACTCTTATTTTATTGGTTTAATTTATTTTTTATTTATTTAGACATACTGTAGACCAACAATTTTTTCCAAGCAGGAAGGGCAAAAGAAGCATCAAGTCAATTGTACAGCAAGAATAAGAAAGGATGAATTCAATTTCACCAGAAACACGCTATATGTCTGTAAAACAGCAAAAAGATTATAACACATTTGAACACTAAGCACATTTATGCAGGAAAATTCTCAGCCGTGAAAATCTCTTCAGGTAGTGAATTCCATACGTTGACTGTTTTGGGAAATAACTGTGTTTGTAAGCATCAGTTTGAGCAAATATGAGTGCCAAAGTTTGGTCATATTTACTACGGATTATCTTGGCAGTGGCTCGTTGGACATAACAAGGCACACTTAATGCAGATTTTCTTGGCATTTGTATAAAAACGTTAAATGACTTGCCTTTCTTCTTGTTTCTAGCAAAGGAATGTCGTGTACCGTATTTACTCGATTCTACCGCGCCCTTGATTGTAACGCGCACCCGATTTCCACCGCGAAAAAAAAAAAAAAAAAACGCAACACATCAATTGCAACGCGCACCCATTTTTCTCGCTGGCCCGCACGATCACACTACTAGAAAAAACGACTCCTTTCGGGAGCGTCTTTTATTTAAATATGAGGTACGGGCGAAGCTTGTGCCCATCTGACGAGTAACAGAGCATTGCCGTCACTGTAGTTTTACCGTGGACCGATGTCAGCAAGCGAACTCGCTTCGCCCCCTTCTTCTCGTCGGTTGTGGTGCCAGGCATGTCGAAGTAAAGAGGCGTCTGATCGGCATTCCCGATTTACCCAAGCAGGTAGCCGTTGTTGCGCCGCAAGTTTAGGACGAACCTCTGAAAACTGTGAAGCTTTTCATCGTACTTCTCCGCAAAACTTTTCGCATATGCATGTTCCCCTTCGGAGACAAAAGCCTTTCCTCTTCATAAAGTTAGTTAGCCAGCACCTGCTCGCTTTAAACTGGCTCCGCATTAGACCGTTTTCTAAGACTAATTGCATAGCCCGCACTTGGAGCAGTTCTGTCGTCACAGGCCGCTGTGCCACTCGCTGCTCAAGCATATACTCGCCGAGCAGCTCTTTAATTTGCGGAAACCGACCCTGCTGTGGTCCACTGAAGCCTTTGTGTGAAGCTTTGCTGTTGACAATCTTCTGCTTTTGTTTCCGCCAGTCCCGCACGCACGTTTCGGGAACTCCGAATGACCGCGATGTGGCCCGATTTCCGTCCGTTTCTGCACACGTGATGACTTTTCTTTTAAAAGCGGCATCGTGGTGCACTCAAGTTTTTGGAGTCGGCCCTTCCACACCGTCGATGCTAATGCACTACTAAATGACGAACTCCTCAGCACACGTACGAAGTGCCGCACATGGGAAACACACAGGCAGAAATGGCCGACGCACGTAGGGGGCGGCCATTTCGGATTTGCCGATGGCAATAGATTGACCGTAAATTTTTTGTTCGTACTCGATTCTAACGCGCATGCGATTTATGAACTCGCTTAACCGGAAAAAAGGTGCGCGTTAGATTCGAGTAATTACGGTAATTGCATTAACGTTACTGGTGAGTCGACTCTGCAATACTTTTTCAAAATAAATCTAATTGCCTTAACGTTGTACTTTTTAAGAAGTATAATACCTTGTAAAAGGGTTCTATTTGACTGCAGCATATTCTACTTTAAATAGAATGAAAGTTTTATAAGCCAAAATATTTGTGCTAGAGGGAGCTCTCTTTAATTCCTTTTTTAAAATTATAATTTACAAACTGCTTTTGTGCAAATATCGTGTGGTGCCTTAGTAAGGTTGCTGCCATGAGTATTGCTTAAATATTTATAGTTATCTGGTAGTTGTAACACTGGGCTACTGTGAAGGATGTAGGGAAAAGTGGTGGGACGTTTTTTTCTTGTAATACATAACAGAATAGTTTTATCAGAATTAAGCACCAAGTTGTCTGAAATACATCCTGATCGGCTGTAGAGCACTTTTTTTTAACAAAGTACAATCATCGGCCAATAATTGAACAAGTCATTCACATATATTATAAACACCAGTGGACCCAGGACAACACTTAAGTTGACATGGAGCACTGCTGGCTCAGAGTTTTTTTATCGCAACAGACTGTCCATTATGACAGATGTAAGCAGTTATCCACTGGACAATAAACCTTGGTAGCTTTGTTTTCTGCAGTTTATAAAACAACTTTCCATGAGGCATATTGACAGCTTGCAGTCAGTCAGTCAAAGAACTTTATTTAATCCTGAGAAGACGAGAATGCCCCCGTCAGAGGGTTATTGTCTGGGGGCCCCATTCCAAGATGGCTCTCAACGACTTCGCAAGCTCTCTGGACAGTCCTTAGCTGCTGGCTCTTTTCGGAGATGGTGATGAGCTGGAGCCAGTCTTCCTTAGTGAAGGGAGACCCTGAACCCTCGCGCCCTTTAACACTGCCACAGCACGTGTTAAAGGGTGCACCTCGGATGTCCACAGCGCGGGCAGCGTAGGTCAATTCCGTCTATGAATTTGGACCAAACAATCGTAGATGGATATGTGTTTGTAACATTCGCAGGGTGATTGCTTGTGGTCTGTTTAGGTGTGGGTGTGGAAGCGGAAACTTCTGACACCCCAGCTGATAGTGCTTACAGACCTCATTAAACGTTGGAAGAGGGTCCCTTTGCCACTGACCTCCCTCGGCCTCCGAGTGCCCACTTCCGGCGGGGTAAGTGAGACCTCGCGCCTGGAAGTGTGCAAGTTCATTGGCGTTTGGGATGGTTTCGTGAGACTCGCTGCCCGTGTGACCAGGGAACCAAATTAGATGCTTTTTGTCTGTCCAAGATGCAGCTGAGAGAATGCAAGTGGCTTCCTTGCTCACCGAGCCTTTCATGAATACTCTAGTGGCGGCTCGCGCGTCCGTGTAAATAGTAGAACGGTTCGCAGTGGCCATGGCGACCGTCAGTTCGCCTTTGTCGGCATCCGAATTTTTAAGCGTGATGTCACTAGCTGCTGCAATAAAGTGATTGGAAGCTGCGTATTGCGCTGCATCAACGAAGGCGACTTTGTCCTCAATCGTAGCTGTTGTTCTAAGAAGGGCCCTGGCCCTTGCTTTGCGTCTACCATAATTGTATTGGGGGTGCATGTTTCTAGGTATCTGAGATACAGAATGCATTTCGTTTACTTTGATGGTAGCGCGCACTCTGTCTGGCGATGGGAGACCGTATACCACTATGCACTAGCAACTGTCTGCCAGCTTCCGTGGAAGCCAGTCTTGCAACTTGGGTGACCTTTTGTGCCTCTACTATTTCTCCAAAGGTGTTGTGGACACCCAGCGCCAATAAATTCTGTACTGGCGCTCTGTTGGAGACCTAGTACCGTTTTTATGGTCTTGCGAATTATTTATTCTAATCTGGCTTCATACCTTCTGCTCCACTTGTGGGCCAGGGCAGTATAATTGGTGTGGCTCATTAGGAAAGCGTGATAGTCTCCGAAGGTTCTCCTTGGATAACACCCCTCGTTTGTTAGCCACTCTTGTGATTTTGTCATGAAATCGGCCTTGACTGCAATGTGTTCTAACGTGTAGGCTTTACTGCCATCCTTCTCCAGGAACATACAGAGGATTCAAACCTTCTTCACGATCGCCCCGCTGCGTTGGTCTAGTGGCTAAGGTACTCGGTTGCTGACCCACAGATCGCGTGATCGAATCCCGGCTTCGGCAATTGCATTTTCGATGGAGGTGAAAACGCTGTAGGCCCGTGTGCTCAGATTTTGGTGCACGTTAAAAAACCCCAGGTGGTCGAAATTTCCGAAGCCCTCCATAATCATATGGTGGTTTTGGGATGTTGAATCCCACGTATCAATCAACTTTCTTTATGATCGGAATAATGGAGCCGTTTGTTGCGGTGATCGAGATATCGGGAAAACTTCCTTTGTTTGCACCGATTGTTGGCCGGTAAAGAAGCAGTTCTGGTTTGTTAGCCGACTGCCAGAGTCCTGCCTTGCGAATAAAATCTTTAACAACTCTGATCACTGTTTGTAATTGCTCTTCAATTTGTCCATCACTACCTCCCTTGCACTAGACAGTGATGTCGTCAGCGTAGAAGGCATGACCGAGACCTTCAATCTCAGCCACTCTGAGGCGAAGTGCTCTCAGCGATGTTAAATAAAAATGGAAATAGCACGGCTCCTAGTTGGGTGCCTCTGCGTCCAAGATTAAACGTCTTCGAGCCGAGAGATCCTAAGCGAATGGTAGCTTTTCTATTCTTAAGAAATGAGCTGATGTAGTTGTAAAAGTGTTCTCCTAGACCATCTTCTTTAATGGAATAAAGTTTATGAAAGTGTTTGACCTTGTCAGAGGCCTTTTCCAGGTCAAGTGCCAGAACAGCTCTGGTGTCTCTAGAGACCCTGTCAATGACCTTGTGTTTTAAAAGCAACTTACGTCCTGCGTGGGCATAGATGGCCTGAATTCATTTAAATTAAATGAAAAGAGATTCCTTTCCTCGGCAAATTCAGTCGCCGCTTTAAGGATGACGTGCTCGGCGACCTTTCGTTCACATGGAGTGAGAGAAATCGGCTGGAGCGAGCCAAGCTCCAGGGATTTTCCTCGCCTTCAGGATGAGGATGACGGTCGCTTCGCAC